ATCCTGCAAGTAATCCACAATTTTAGATCTGATATTATTATATGTAACTGTAAGGGACATTACCTTTGTTATGTGTCACATGTTATCCATTACTCCCCACACTGTGGATGTGTTGATCTGATCTGAGGGGGTGTTATCAGAGTCAGGGTGAGGGTTCACTCCCTCTCCTCCCCCCTGGAGATTGTTTAGCTTCCTGTTATCCTTGCTCAGATGCATCGAGGCAATATTTATGGCAGAGGGAGCATAAAGCGCCGGCACTAATAAAACGTTCCCCCCCTCTCGCTGTGCGACTCACATCGTCTTCCCTACCTCCCCCTTCATCCAATTTGTTTATTTATGTCTTCATTCGGACAGGGTGGGGCGATATAATGCAACATCCTGTGAGACGAGGGGCATTTTTTAGCTGATGGAAGGATACAACAAATTAATTAAAATATATAAATGAGTGGCTTTAAAATCCCTGTCCTTGGGTAGAAAATGAACATTAGATTTCCATGCAATTAGTTTTTTATATATTTTGTAAAAGGAGAGCAATCTAATTAGATTATTACTCTGACCACATCCTGGCTAACCCTAACCCAGTACTCCGATTTTTGAGGTATTTAAAAGACAAATATGGAATATTACAAATCTTTTTAAATGTTTCGACATTATACTCAGCAAGCTGCAGTCCATATTATGATAAGATATGGGGATAAACATTCACGCTGAGGGTGTTTTGCTTTTCCACACTTGTTATTATACTGCTTTGTTGAATACTGGATTCTGATTGGTCAGTTTGGACATTCCAGAGGTTGTTCATTTTAGGAGAACAGACTGTTGCTAAGGAGAACAGACTGTTGCTAAGGAGGAAGTTCTGATAAAGTGTATCAACTGTGGACAACACAGATTCGTTTTCATTCATCAGAAAGAAGACAGGCAGGAAGTAAACACTAAAGGGAACAGCAGAAGAAGACAGACAGGAAGTAAACACTAAAGGGAACAGCAGCAGAAGAAGACAGACAGGAAGTAAACACTAAAGGGAACAGCAGAAGAAGACAGACAGGAAGTAAACACTAAAGGGAACAGCAGAAGAAGACAGACAGGAAGTAAACACTAAAGGGAACATCAGAAGAAGACAGACAGACAGGAAGTAAACACTAAAGGGAACAGCAGAAGAAGACAGACAGGAGTGGAGCGGACTATTTTTTTAATAGAAGCAATACGATCATTATTAAATAAAATAAATCATTTTAATATCAACATTGTGTGCCAAGTTGTTAGTTTATTTAGTATTTAGCCATGTACTAAGCGTGTTAATATGCAGAGATCTCTCACATTACACCAACAAAAGCAGCCAGAGAAATAGAAGAACTTAGAGAACTTGTATTATTCGTTAAACCTCGAGGAAACACAAGTAGCATTATAATGAGAGAAACAGAACGGCTGTTAGACTCTCTTTATTCTGTCTGTTTGCTCCGGGTTGTGTTTGACGTTCGGCTGATGGATGAAGCTGAGGCTTGTGAAAGGTTTCTCAGCATCGGGCTAAATATTCACATTACCTCAGTGTCTACAGAGCCGATCAATACTCTATTACTCTTCCAACCTGAGCCAATCCCACGACGGCAGGGAGAATCCACCAATCAATGCTTCAGAAGGGGGGGGGGAAACGTGATTAGAGATCTTAACTGTGGCTCAGACACACATCTAAACACTGATTCGTGTACAGAATAAAAGTCACATTATATTTAATTATTATGTCTATCCTCGCACATTTAATGTATAAAATATACTACTTTTAAAATTTGTGTCGGCTGTAATTTTGCCCTTTATAGTGTTTATATTCTATGTTATTTTCTACCCTTTTTATTTTTCATATTATGTGCAATGCATTTGTTTTAACATGCTGCTGTGACGAAGAAATGTCCCAATTTGGGATCAATAAAGTATATCTTATCTTATATCATTGGCGATCATTTTCAAACGAATTAACAACAACACTGGCTCTCTAAACTTCAATTAAAATGTGCACTTTCTTCACCTGAACACAAAGAAAATGTCTCCAAGTCAATTATTTTCACTATTATATTACCACTACTAAATGATCCTGCATAATGTGATGTTTATGCCTCACTTCACGTACTCATATTTCTCCTCCAACGTGCTTCAGTCTCTGTGAGGTGAAGCTGCTGCAGTGGATTCTGATTATAAGTTTGCTTTTGCAGCAATCAGCCTCGCAGAGTCAGCAAACTACTGACCTACTGTGTCCTCTGTGTGTGGTGTGTGTGTGTGTGTGTGTGTGTGTGTGTGTGTGTGTGTGTGTGTGTGTGTGTGTGTGTGTGTGTGTGTGTGTGTGTGTGTGTGTGTGTGTGTGTGTGTGTGTGTGTGTGTGTGTGTGTGTGTGTGTGTGTGTGTGTGTGTGTGTGTGTGTGTGTGTGTGTGTGTGTGTGTGTGTGTGTGTGTGTGTGTGTGTGTGTGTGTGTGTGTGTGGGTGTGTGTGTGTCTCAGTTAAACATGCACCATAGTGTGTGTGATTCGCTCTTGAAAGCTGTTACTATAGAGTGGTTCAGGGACGTCGTAGTTGTAATATCCCTGGTCCAATGGGATTTCTCCATTGGATTTAGAATGATTGCAGAATCTTTGAAGTAAAAGGCTAACATCAGGCTATAAAGGAACTACAGCACGGTCACATGACTTCACGTCACCACCGCTAAGCTAAAGGCGGCTAATGTTGGGCTATAAAGGAACTACAGCACGGTCACATGACTTCACGTCACCACCGCTAAGCTAAAGGAGGCTAATGTTGGGCTATAAAGGAACTACAGCACGGTCACAAGACTTCACGTCACCACCGCTAAGCTAAAGGTGGCTAATGTTGGGCTATAAAGGAACTACAGCACGGTCACAAGACTTCACGTCACCACCGCTAAGCTAAAGGTGGCTAATGTTGGGCTATAAAGGAACTACAGCACGGTCACAAGACTTCACGTCACCACCGCTAAGCTAAAGGAGGCTAATGTTGGGCTATAAAGGAACTACAGCACGGTCACAAGACTTCACGTCACCACCGCTAAGCTAAAGGAGGCTAATGTTGGGCTATAAAGGAACTACAGCACGGTCACAAGACTTCACGTCACCACCGCTAAGCTAAAGGCGGCTAATGTTGGGCTATAAAGGAACTACAGCACGGTCACAAGACTTCACGTCACCACCGCTAAGCTAAAGGCGGCTAATGTTGGGCTATAAAGGAACTACAGCACGGTCACAAGACTTCACGTCACCACCGCTAAGCTAAAGGCGGCTAATGTTGGGCTATAAAGGAACTACAGTACAGTCACATGACGTCACGTCATAAAGGCAGCTAACGTTGGGCGTGATGACGTTTAATGGTCTCATTTAGACACTTGTTAGCAACCGCCATTTTTAAGTCCACCAGTGGGGTATTTACTGACGTATTTTATGTTGTAGAACAACATCTCTTCACCTTGTGTTAACCACAGACCTTATTTCAGGATAACAACCAAAAACCAATTCAGAAAACCATTGAAGAGGGGACAGGAAGTGCTAAAATCATTTCCTGGTTTTAGGGCTCATTCCTGCACCACTCTATTCCTAATGCATCAATAATCATAATCCCTGTAATTTAATAATGCTTAAACAAGTACTTTTACTTGTGGTATGATTTACAAGCTGATCCTGAAAAACGTACGGATGTTTGCTGTGTTTACATCACACGAGTTAACTTGCTCATGCGTCCATCTTTTACTTTCTGAGCGTAGTTGAGTGCAGGAGTGTGTAAAGATAAAGAGTCTGTCTGATAAGTGCTCTCTGTCTGCTGAGTAATGGAGGAGCACATTGACCCGCGGAAAAACAGACAAACTGTTCACACCCTGCAGTCTGCAGACAGTCCTAGAAATCTACCGTATTTTACATCAGCCTTGTGTTAACCTTCATATTAAAAAACAGATATTGACCTGGAGGCCTGCAGGTTTTAAAGACAAATATTAATTTGCAACCATGTTGACTGATATCAGAAATGTTTATTTTTATATAGAACAGAACATTAGCTTGCTGGCTTGGACTTTACAATATTGGTATATGTGAGCCACCAAGTTAATTATATGCATTAAATAATGTATTTTAACTAAGTGTTCTTGATAGTTATGAGGGCTATTGCAATATATCCACTGGGGATGATTTTAAACGTGATAACTGGTAACTTCTGACATTTTTTATGGTTTATTTAGATTTTTGAGCAACAAATACTAAAGGAAAACAATTTAATTAAGCGAAGAAATGTATAATATGTGCAGTTGCGAACATGGTTTTTTGTCTGTCTTTTATTTTATCCATGAAATGAACGAGTTACATGAGTCAACTGTTTTTAAAGGACATAAAATACAGACATAGAGAAATAGTGTGTCTCAAGTTCAGGCTGACATAAAAAAAGGACAAAAAAACGGATGATTTTTCCAAATAATGGAACGAATAATCCAGCCCGACCTCGGCTCGTTGGTGACATCTCTGCTGAAGTGTGTGTAGACAAAAGAGAGGAGGACAGCATGTCTCTGTAGTAATCATCATCCCACACACTATCACAGGAACCACAGGAGGTGTGTGTGTGTGTGTGTGTGTGTGTGTGTGTGTGTGTGTGTGTGTGTGTGTGTGTGTGTGTGTGTGTGTGTGTGTGTGTGTGTGTGTGTGTGTGTGTGTGTGTGTGTGTGTGTGTGTGTGGTGTGTGTGTGTGTGTGTGTGTGTGTGTGTGTGTGTGTGTGTGTGTGTGTGTGTGTGTGTGTGTGTGTGTGTGTGTGTGTGTGTGTGTGTGTGTGTGTGTGATACGTGGGTTTCAGGACAGATGCTCTTTCTCTGTTTCATGAATCTGCCTCCATTAACCGTTTAAGATCTGTGTTGCTTTGAGGACCGTACATTTATTTATTTTTGAAGCCCCCCCTCACTAAACCTGTGTGTTTCTGTAGGAGTTGTGTGAAGACCCCCCTCACTAAACCTGTGTGTTTCTGTAGGAGTTGTGTGAAGACCCCCACCTGTTTGTGGACGGCATCAGCGCCCACGACCTGCACCAGGGTCAGCTGGGGAACTGCTGGTTCGTGGCCGCCTGCTCCAGCCTCGCCTCCAGAGAGGCGCTGTGGCAGAAGGTACGTCCTTTTATAATTGTATGGGTTTTTTTAGGTCTGAGATTTAAGTCTAAAATAAATTGTGAGAGAAAACTCAGAATTCTGAAAATGTTGTATCTTTTTCTGATTATTGTGATTTTTTTTCTTCTGAGACTAAAGTCAGAATCAGCGACTTTAATCTCAGAAAAAAATAAGAAAATCGGAAAATAAATCTTAGAGTTTTGGTTGAATCAGAATTATTATATTTTACATTTCCTGGAAAAAGAAATTCAGAAGAAATGTATAGAAAATTATAGAAAATGTTAAAAAAATTCCATTGGATATCTTTTCTGGATTTTAAATGTTTTCACTTCAGAAACTTCAGATATTTGACGTTAAGGAAAACATTTAATATTAAATATATTTGAAATTCATCTCAGAATTTTCAAGACAAGTAAAAAAACGAAAGAAAAAAACCGTCATCACATTTTTTCCCCGAAAAGTTCGGAGAAATAATAAACTACATTTTTCTTTTACATTTTTCTTTTCCAGCAAAAAATATTTCTGGAAAAAACATTTGAAAATTCTTTTGTACATTTCTTTTTTTTGTAAGAAGTGAGAATTCTGAGCCTAAAGTTGAAATTCTAGGGGAAATTTTTTTTTTCTGAACATTTAAGAATTCTGTCTTTTATTTGGTCAGATCTCAAAAACATGTTCACACGTGTCCCTAATCCTCGTCCATAGGAACAGCAGGTGTGAGTTTGTGTGTCCTGTGAGCTTGATCTGGCTCCCGAGCCTTAGCTTGAGACCCTTTCTATGCAGTTACTATTTCAAACTAATTCTGATCTGAGCTTTAGAAAGTGGAAGTGTGTTTGTTGAAGATGTCTTTGTGCAGAGATCTGTTCAGTCTCCTGTTCGACTTCATGATACCAAAACAACCAATGGTCCAAATGTGGCTGGTTACCCAAAACACTGATATGTATGCTCTTTTTGCAATATGGTTGCAAAAAGAGCCTTTCAAGTAGCTTCAGAGCTTTTGTCAGATACATTTAGCCTCTCTTAAATCCTTGTTATTACTCAGCAAAGTATTTTTTTTAAATGCTAGTTTGAAGGTCGCACTTCACAGTCATTTTTGCAGATAATTTTCCACTCTATTTATCACTTGGTCTAAAAAAGATTGAAAAATGTCTATTGAATTATCTCGGCTTTAAAGATATTGATTTTACATGATAAAAAAAAGCATGGAATCTCCATTTTTGACGAGATGAAAAAAGAATGTTCTGATTTTTTTTTTTAAATGCAATTATCTTTTTCTGGTGCACTACTTAGAGGGATGTCATTGTTATTCCATCCCTTTGAGATAATCCATTAGTTTTAACCCCTTCCTGTCACCCTTTGAGCAAACGCACACATAGCAATGAGGACATTTATGCATTCAAGGTGAGCAGGAACTAATTGAGACTCCCGATAATGCAGCGTTTTTTATCAGAGGATAATTTAAAGCTTCAGAAAGCACCTTACTTTTCATGCTTCCTGGCAACGTGAAATGAACTTAATATCTCCTGACATCTCCGTTATTTCCTTTCTCACACACACTTCATCTCACACACGTACTCTCGTTCAGTCACTGTTACTGTTTGCAGGAGGAAGAGAGGAGGCTTAGAGATGAAATCCTCATGCCTCCCATCGCTCTTGTTTGTCAAGCAAGACGGATGAGGCAGCATGAACCTTTCCCGTCCAATAGGGAATACACACACACACACACACACACACACACACACACACACACACACACACACACACACACACACTGTCTCTATCCATTATCTCACAAGGGACTCATTGCTACCAAACCCATCGGGGCTGGCTGTTTGTCGAAGAGGACATGACGAATAACATTTCTGTTTTAGACGTTGATTAAGAAAAGAAAGGGCAACTACATCGTCTTTTAATATATCCAATTTATTTGTATTAAGCTGTATTTAACATCGTAGAAGACAAAGACACAAAGAAACACACTTTTATGATCAACATGTTTCAAAAGAAAGGTATAAATGTTTGAGTTATTGGTTAAGAAAAGAAAAAAGGCAAATACATCGTTTTTTAATATATCCATTTTATTTAGATTAAGCTGTATTTAACATCGTAGAATACAAAGACACAAAGAAAGACACTTTTATGATCAACAGGTTTCAAAAGAAAGGTATAGATGGATGAAGAGGGAAGTCTCTATTTATCACTTGGTCTAGAAATATTGAAAAATGTCTATCGAAATTTCTAGGCTTTAAAGATATTGATTTTACAAGAGAAATAAATCCGTAAATCTCGATATTTGATGAGTTGAAAAAAGCATTTTCTGATATATATTTTTAATGCAATTATCTTTTTCTGCAGAAGAATGTCATTGTTATTCCTTCCCCTAAAGATAAATCACTAGTTTAACCCATGCCTGTCACCCTTTGAGCAAAAGAAGACCTGTCCTTACAGATAGTCAGAAATTGTGATATCCTTAAAAAGAAAACGTTCGAAAAAAGCCAGTTTCAGCTAAAATATCTAAACTCACAAGCTCAGAAGAACATTTTTTTAACTCTCTGTTGTGAAGATGATGGAGCAGTTGACAGTCTCAGAGTTGCATCCTTCTCCAAAGGCAAACAGGAAGTACATCACCTTCCTTATCTTCGCCAACTCAGCGATTCTTTCCCCAAATTCGTACGAATCGGCCTCGTAGCACTGGAGGATTTGGTCCTTTTCTCCCCTCCAAAAAACTCCAACTGGCTCCAGAAGTTGCCGATTCATCAGGTTGGTTAAATCCGGCGTCCAGAGCTGAGAAGTGGCGGTTATTGTGAGGCGTGCGATATCAGGAAGACACACCGACCACCGTGAGAACTTTAGGGATTGTTTGCTGAAGTCCAGTTGATAAACAGTCTCGTTGGGACGAAGCAGACGTTCTCCATCCTGCCTTTTTTGGCCTCGTTGCTGCAGAGATTGAGCTCGTTGACGCATCAACTCCGTCAGATCGAGGTCCGGACGGAAAGAAAGCTCCAGCTCCGAAGACATGTTTGTTTGAACTCCCAGTAACTCTTTCTCCTCGCTGGTGCAGAATGTTTGTGTTCAAAGCTGGTGTTTCACAGATCAACAGAGAGGTGCTAAGTAACCGATGTAATGATATGTTCAGGGTTTTCCCTCAGGGAGATTTGCCTAGTACTGTTTGTTTGTGTCTATTTTTTGCTTGGCTACAGGTGTTTAACTTTAATGCCAGACGTTAATTACCCTAAGGTAACATGTTCCTGATGAGGAAAAGGTCATAATTGTGAGATTAAGAGTCAACGCTCTCAAAAAAAGTTAAAATGTCCAACTTTTTCCAGTCAGAATGCCAAAAAAAGTCAGCATTTTTAGAAAAGTCAGAAACCAAAACGTTTGAATTCGGAGATTAAAGTCTGAAATTTTAGTCTACGAGGAAATGATCCGACTGCTCATTTGATTGATTAATAGACATTTTCCTGATGAGTCAATGGTCTCAATTGCTAGTTTCAAGTCTCTCTCAAGACAGAATGATAACTTTTTCGTACATTTTTGGTCCTATTTGAAGTAAAATACACTCCGTCAGATCGGTGTCCGGTCGGAAAGAAAGATCCAGCTCTGAAGACATGTTTGAACTCCCAGTAACTCTTCGTGTTCAAAGCTGGTGTTTCACAGATCAACAGAGAGGTGCTAAGTAACAGATCTAATGATATTTGCCTCCCCCAGCTCAGGGTTTGTCCTCAGGGAGATTTGCTGAGTACTGTTTGTACCACCTTTTGTTTGTGTCTTGTTTTCGCTTGGCTACAGGTGTTTAACTCTAATGCCAGACATTAATTACCCTAAGTCAACATGTTCCTGATGAGGAGAGGGTCTCAATTTCTTCAGAATTCTGAGCAAAAGTCCTAATTCTGAGGTTAAGAGTCAACGTTCTCAAAAACAGTCCGAATTCCAACTTGTTCCGAGTCAAAAAGCCGAAAATAGTCAGATTTTTCTGAAAAGTCAGAAACCAAAAAGTTGGAATTCTGAGATTAAAGTCAGAATTCTGAGATTTTAGTCTTCGAGGAAATTATCCTAATTGTCATTTGATTCATTACCCTTAATAGACCTTTTCCTGGTGAGTTTATGGTCTTAATTGTTAGTTTCAAGTCTCTATCAAACAGAATGATTTGATAGAGACTTGAAACTAGCAATCAAGATAGCATTTTAGAGGGATTTCTACCACTTAGCTAAAGTTAATTACCCGCCTAAAATGGTCTCGTGCATTGTTCAGTTGTACTTCGTTTCACCGTCTCTTGACATTTCTGGTTAAATAAAGTCAAGATGTTAAATTCAAGGCTTCAACACTGTAGTCCACAAACCAATGGATGTTATGGGAGGGAGTGATTCCCTAACAGTGATTCCCTTTGGTCTCTACGTGCTGACGGTTTGCAGAGGAAGTGCTTTCTGCTTGTGTTTCAAGCGGTCAGTCATCAGGTCTGTTTCCTCTCAGAGTTCAGATGAAAGCTGAGATGGATGGAGCCTCACTCCCTCACTTTCCACAGTGCAGAGACACAGAGTTTGAGCAATATGGTGGAGAGCAGGAGCCTCCCGGGGGATTACAGAACGACTCTGAGGTTTGATGGTGCAGTGCTTTGTTTTTCTTCCTCCTCTTCGGTCCTCTGGAGAGGCCACACTGTCTCCATCAGCAGAGTGTCGCCTCCTGTAGAGAGGTTTGACAGGAAGTGCTGTTAGTAAACCTGACATCTCCAAGGACGCTGTTGTCTCACCGCTCACCTGTGGTGTCGCTATCTGAATCAACCAGTTTTTAATGTGCGCCAGGGGAGGAGCAAGTTTTTTGAAAGTAATTACAAAAAAAGTCAGAATTTAGAAAAAGTCAGAATTCCTCAAAAATCTGATTTCTGAGGAAAAGTTAGAAATGTGAGAAAAAGTCAGAAATCCAAAGAAAGTCAAAATTGTGAGAAAGAAGTCAAGATTTCATAAAAGTTGAATTCTGAGAATCAGCAGAGTGTCGCCTCCTGTAAGAGGTTTGACAGGAAGTGCTGTTAGTAACCCTGACATCTGCACACCTTCTCGGGGAGGAGAAAGAGCCAAACTACGGGTATGAAAGGTGAGGCAAAGTCAGAGGTGCTTTGCATTGTCTCTAAAAATCTACGAATAAATGCTGAGTCTGAATGTTGAGAAAAAGTCAGAAATCAAAAGAAAAGTCTGAATGTTGAGAAACAGTGAAAGATTCTGAGAAAAAGTCAGAATTCCAAAAAGTAAGAATTTTGAAAACGTCAGCTCACATGTGGTATCGCTCACTGAATCCTTTCCAGTTTTTTTATTACGTTATACTGCTTACTGGTAGACAATTCACCTCAAGGTCGCCTCAAGGTTGAGTTTTTTTTTTATGACACTGGCCGTGGCTTATGGGGGGAAATGTGTATTTACTAACCAAAGGGTCAAAGGTTAGATACCAAGATCCTGCAGTAAACATGTCAAAGTGTCCTTGGACAAGATACTTAACGCCAGATTGCTCCCGTAGGTATATTTAGTATTGAAGTGTATACTGTAAGTTGCCTTGAATACAAATAAACATTTTAGTAATGAAGTGAAATTTAAAGAGTCCCTATTCTGCTTTTTTTTGTCTGTGGTTTTCACCTTTCCCGTAGTGTGTGCTATAGGTGTTTTGCATGTAAATGGTCTGCAAAGGCTAAAATCCCTCATGTTGAGAAAAACAACAACACACACACACACACACACACACACACACACACACACACACACACACACACACACACACACACACACACACACACACACAGTTATAACCTCTCACCCGTGTCCTATTACAGCTGGATTTATGATTGAGAGACTCACAGTGATAAATCTGTCCCCTGGTCCTGAATGCATCAGCAGACAAGAGGCTCTCCACCTTCACGTTATTTATTCTCCACGAAACACCGCCTGTTTGTTTCTCTCACCTTCCCTCCAGAGATGGCAAAAGTACACATCCTTTACTCAAGTAGAAGTACAGATACTCGTGTTTCAAAATACTCTGGTAAAAGTAGAAGTACTGACTAAACTTCTTTACTCAAGTAAAAGTAAAGAAGTATGGGCTTTGAAATGTACTTCAGTAAAAAGTACCCATAACTAGCAGCTGTTTTAAAGAGTACCTGACCTCCCTTTATATTAATAGAACAATAATGTCATTGTTAGCTAATGAATGTTTCCATGCTGAACAACGGCAACATGACAACGTTTTCATTGGTCCCTCTTCTTTAGAGAAGACCAGGAAATGATGGATACACGGATCGTGTTCAAATCAATAGGCACGCAATGACTCTAAATAATAATGATCACGCCACCAAACACACATTCAAACTAAAGGAACCAGCCTGTTTGGAAAATGTAAGAAGTAGAAAGTACAGGTATTTGTGTTTAACATGTAAGAAGTAGAAAGTACAGGTATTTGTGTTCAAAATGTAAGAAGTAGAAAGTACAGGTATTTGTGTTCAAAATGTAAGAAGTAGAAAGTATAGGTATTAGTGTTCAAAATGTAAGAAGTAGAAAGTACAGGTATTTGTGTTCAAAATGTAAGAAGTAGAAAGTACAGGTATTTGTGTTCAAAATGTAAGAAGTAGAAAGTACAGGTATTTGGGTTCAAAATGTAAGAAGTAGAAAGTACAGGTATTTGTGTTCAAAATGTAAGAAGTCAAAGTAAAAAGTTGTCAGAAGAATAAGTAGTGGAGTAAAGTACTGATACCAGAAAAATGTACTTCAGTACAGTAACGAAGTATTTGTACTCCACTACTTCCAACCTCTGCTAAGATGGTACCACATTTGGACTTAAAGGTCTTCTATTATGCTATTTGTAGGCATATTTTATAGGTCTCAGATATATAAAATAGACCCTCTTCCTCCCTCTTCCTCCCCAGGTTATCCCAGACTGGAAGGAGCAGGAATGGGACACGGAAAAGCCCGAATCGTACGCGGGGATTTTCCACTTCCGTTTCTGGCGTTTTGGGGAGTGGGTGGACGTGGTGATCGATGACCGGCTGCCCACGGTGGACAACCAGCTGGTCTACTGCCACTCCAACGACAGCAACGAGTTCTGGAGCGCGCTGGTGGAGAAGGCCTACGCTAAGTGAGTATAGCACTTTATACAGAGGGGAATCACAGTATGAATACTACCATACTTAAAGGTCCCTATTATGCTATTTTTAGGCATATATTATAGGTCTCAGATATATAAAAAAACATGTCTATGAAGTGTTTTGCTCGAAATACCAAACAGATCACCCATTCTAGACATCCCTCATATCCCTTTATTTCAGCCCTGTTAGAGAAGTGCTGATTCTGGGTCCGTAGCTATAAAAAAATATGTATATATCCTGCTTCTTTACACATACTCTCTCCAGTACAGGTTAGCTCTGAGTGTTAGCTATGCTTGCTAATGTAAACAAAGACCATATTACTTCCAAAAGACGTTGTGCATTGTTTGGATGTAAAGCCCGCCCACATTTCAGATATTACGTCATATCGGCAGCAAATCTGGATCAGCTCCGTTGTTAGAGATGTGGTTTTATTTTCTGACACTTTGTTAGTCTCCTGACACACCGGGGACACATATTTATGTATAAAAGACATACAAAAGTGCATTCTGCATGATAGGAGTCCTTTAAGACTTAAAATCCATGAATAGATTAATAATTGATCTCTTAACATTTGATTACGTGACAATAGTTGCAACTCTAGTAAATATAACCACTTCCTGTCAGGGTGTACGGCATCTACGAGGCGTTGGACGGGGGAAACACTGCGGACGCTTTGGTGGATTTCACTGGTGGAGTTTCAGAGCCCGCAGACCTTCTGGAGGGTCAGATGGCAACAGATGAGGTCGCCAGAAACCAGCTGTTCGAACGAGTGCTAAAAGTTCACAACAGAGACGGATTAATCAGCTGCTCCATCAGGGTGAGAGGACTCTTTAAAGTAGAGACACTACATACTGATAAACACCTGAACATCAGCAGGAGAGGACTCTTTAACGTAGAGACACTACATACTGATAAACACCTGAACATCAGCAGGAGAGGACTCTTTAAAGTAGAGACACTACATACTGATATACACCTGAACATCAGCAGGAGAGGACTCTTTAAAGTAGAGACACTACATACTGATATACACCTGAACATCAGCAGGAGAGGACTCTTTAAAGTAGAGACACTACATACTGATATACACCTGAACATCAGCAGGAGAGGACTCTTTAAAGTAGAGACACTACATACTGATATACACCTGAACATCAGCAGGAGAGGACTCTTTAAAGTAGAGACACTACATACTGATATACACCTGAACATCAGCAGGAGAGGACTCTTTAAAGTAGAGACACTACATACTGATATACACCTGAACATCAGCAGGAGAGGACTCTTTAAAGTAGAGACACTACATACTGATATACACCTGAACATCAGCAGGAGAGGACTCTTTAAAGTAGAGACACTACATACTGATATACACCTGAACATCAGCAGGAGAGGACTCTTTAAAGTAGATACACTACATACTGATATACACCTGAACATCAGCAGGAGAGGACTCTTTAAAGTAGAGACACTACATACTGATATACACCTGAACATCAGCAGGAGAGGACTCTTTAAAGTAGAGACAATACATACTGATATACACCTGAACATCAGCAGGAGAGGACTCTTTAAAGTAGAGACACTACATACTGATATACACCTGAACATCAGCAGGAGAGGACTCTTTAAAGTAGAGACACTACATACTGATATACACCTGAACATCAGCAGGAGAGGACTCTTTAAAGTAGATACACTACATACTGATATACACCTGAACATCAGCAGGAGAGGACTCTTTAAAGCTGATAGAGTGTTTCTTGTAAACTCATGTATGCTTGTTAGGAAAACAAGTTCACTCTGTTTATGAATTAGATTTGGCCCTTGCTCCCCCGTCTCATGCCAATCTATTCCCGACGTCCTGCTCCAGCAGAAACTAATTCACAATCCCTTATTGTGATTCAGAATCAGGCGTAGTTCCATTTTTAAATGATACAGCTCTTTTATATGCATGAGTTTTTACACTGGAGGGTCTATTGTTCAAATGAGAGCTTGGAGAATAGAACCACCGTGTGCAAAAAGGGCATTTTCCTCCTTTATCCATTGTTGTTATTACTTAAGGGTCTATTTCTCAATCATATATTGCTGTTCTAGGAATGCATACATTAAATGTCTACAGGGCCGTCCCTGGCCAACATGAAGGCCCACGCAAAGTTATATGATGAGGCCCTCTGCTTCGCGAGGGTCGTCGACGGGGGACGGGGGGTGCTAGTGGAGCCTCGCAGCGGCGAAACCGTGCCGCGCCACACTAATTGCAGCGCATAGGTGCGCCGCATTTTCGGCTCAGTTGAGGCCCCTTCCGCAAGGTGAGGCCACACGCAGTCTGCATGATCGGCCTGTAGGGAGGGACGGCCCTGTATGTCTATCCTCTGGGAGTATATACTATGTGTTGCTGATTCATGGATCAAGGATCGGCTAATGTTGGGCTATAGAGGAACTACAGCACGGTCACATGACTTCACGTCACCACCGCTAAGCTAAAGGTGGCTAGTGTTGTGCTATAAAGGAACTACAGTACGGTCCAACACAGTCTCACGGCATTTCGTGTTATAGTCACGAAATTAATCTATTGATTCGTGTTCACCAACACGATTTCGCCATTTTTTTCGTGTCACACAGAACGATTTTAAAAGCAATGTAAATAATAACAAATTAGAAGGAAAAAGACATTTACAAAAATACAGATTTAAGTATTCTGACACAGAACGATTTTAGAAGCAATGTATTTATATTGGTAGTATGTTTCGTGCCTGCACCAAATAATAACAAATTAGAAGGAAAAAAAGATGACATAAAATTCAGATGTCAGTATTCTGAGGCTCTGAGCCATTTCTTTTCCTCACTGACGGCAAAAAACTCAGACATTATACAATTTCAAATAAAAGGGATAGGGTTAGGCTTAGGGTAAGATATTGAGTAAGAACATGTTTTTATGAACCACACAGCTTCTGGTCTTCCAAGACCCGACCGGACAAAAAGACGTGTTGCAGGCACTACACATACTATCAATAGAAATACATTGCATTTTAAATCGTTCTGTGTGACACGAAAAAAATGTGAAAATCGTGTTGGTGAACACGAATCAATAGATTAAATTAATTTGGGCTATAGCACGGTCACATGACTTCACGTCACCACCACTAAGCTAAAGGTGGCTAATGTTGGGCTATAAAAGAACTACAGCACGGTCACATGACTTCACGTCACCACCGCTAAGCTAAAGGTGGCTAATGTTGGGCTATAAAAGAACTACAGCACGGTCACATGACTTCACGTCACCACCGCTAAGCTATAGGTGGCTAATGTCGGGCTATAAAGGAACTACAGCACGGTCACATGACTTCACGTCACCACTGCTAAGCTACAGTATAGGTGGCTAATGTCGGGCGTGATGACGTTGAGTCCACTCATTTAGACACTTGTTAGCAACCGCTGTTTTGAAATTCAACAGTGGGGTATTTACTGATGTATTGTATGTCATAGAATTAAAATCTCTTCATCTTGTTTTTAACCACAGACCTTATTTTAGGCTATCAACCGAAAACACAGTCAGAAAACCATTGACTTCCATACAAGAGAACAGGAAGTGCTAAAATGTTGAATTGTTTCTGGGGTTTTTTAATCATTCCTGCATCTCTATTTTATGAAACCTCTAACTCTTATGCACAATTCTCTAAGAATGAAAGAAAAGCTAATCTGTCACAGGTATTATGAGGCTAGAAATAACAGACACTATAATCTATAATATAATAAAAACCAAATAACAAGCCAATCAAGGACAGTGTTTCTGAAGTCCATTTTGTAGTATTTGTCATGTCTGTCATTGTGACATATTAATCAGGCTCTCAGTATTTTCAGGGATAATCGAGTATGAGAAGTGAAGTGTAATGTCTCACAAAAAGCCACTGAACACATCATCATTGGATCGAAGAACCAATTTTCTGATAACGCTGTAATGACTCTCGCCTCTTTCCCTCCCTCTATCCAAGGCCTTTTATTCTCACATTTCTAATATGCAAGCGTCCCATCTCTGTTACCGTAAATCTTCCAGTGTGTTGTTTTCCAGACAAAGAAAAATAGCCATCCAGTGGCCTCTCGAGATGATGATTAAAGATGCATTTGGTAATAAAGCAATGTTTTACGAATCAATATTGTAGTGGCAAAAGCCGAAAGGAAAACCAGCAAGTAATTCTGATGCAGGAAATTATTTAACGTCCAGGTGAGGATATCCTTACCTGCATTTATCTCGTTGTATTCCAATAATACTATATGATAAAGAATAATAGTTTCACCTGTGTTTTCCCTGGTTAAAAAACATGTTCTCGTTCTCATGCGTCAATCCAGTGCCCTAAACCGCCTTCAAAATAAAAGCCTGAAGAAATACTTAAATTAAGTTAAATAATTACTCATATTATTGAATAGTTAAACCTTTTTTTTTCACGCTGTTTTTGTTTATAATACATTTATTATTATTTAGTAATTACTAATAGTTAGTTAAAGACGTTTTCATGCTATTATTTTGAAGGTATATTTGGGCACCTTTGACACTTTAACATTAAAAAGTCATAATTCATCCATCTGTATAAAGTGTTTTCACACTGTACGTTGATATTTAATTTAATAAGATGCTATTTTTGGCACACTCCATGTTAATAATATCATACTTCTATATTTTGTGAGCTGCAATTGCCGTTCATAGACAGTCTTCTGATATATATCTTCCACTGGCATTATGTATATATATATATATTTTACTTTAAAGTTCTGTTTTTATTTTCTATTTTGAGATGTTTATATGTTATGCTTATGCCTATTGGCTCCTACTTGGGATCAATAATTACATTTTTAATTCCTCTAATGTACAATGCCTTGTCTTTTTATGCTGCTGCAACGCAAACATTTACCAAATTGGGATCAATAAAGTACTTCTTATCTTATCTTAATAATAAAACCTTTAATATAAGCAAAAACAGCTAGAAAATAAATGTTTAACTCTTAAATAATATAGATCAATGTAAAGCTCTGACAAATATTTAGCTTTTCGACATTGAAGCCCATGATGCAACTCTGCCAGTCTTTGTATTTTCCATATTTCCGGAGATCCACATACGTTTCCCAGCTTTAAATCCTCCCGTTTTTGTTTTTCTCTCCCCCAGGCGACCACGATAGAGGACATGGAGGCGCGGCTGGACTGCGGTCTGGTGAAAGGTCACGCCTACGCCGTGACGGACGTAAAGAAAGTGAGGCTCG